AGTGTGTGTGTGTGTGTGTGTGTGTGTGTGTGTGTGTGTGTGTGTGGTGGGAAAATGCCTGCTGGTTCTTGCTTCGGGTGGCTTTCTCTTGTGTTCTTTTAGAATGAACTCACCATCTTCAGACTTGATAGGGATGCTGGAGGGTTTATTCAGTTACATATGCACACTCAGGTGTGCATGCGTTATGCAAGGGGAGTTCTGGGTAGCTTTAGCACCTGTGTGAACTGTGCTATCATAACCACAGTCAAGACACCCGACTGTGCCGGCATCACAAGAGTCCCTTGAGTTCGCCTTTCATAGCCATTTTCATTTCTTCCCCACGTCGTGTTCTCGGTTTTCGTGATTAGGTTATTTCACAGATGTTACATAAATGGACTCATGCTGTATGCATCCTGTTAAGCTTGGCTTTTTATAAGACTTTTTGGTTGTTGTAGAAGAGGAAAATTGGGGCTTACCTGAGTCAGTCAGTAAAACTTGGGGGTTCTGATCCAACATTTACTAATTTTCTCAACAGTGAGTGGTTACCACTGGACTATAATTTTTAAAAACAAACAAAACACTTTTCCTATGTAGTGTTTTGGGGAAAGATTGTGGCTGGTGACATTTACTGAATAAGGTTTTTCTGTTAACGTGTATGTGTGTGTCCTTTGTTTAGGAAGTCGAAGCACCAGAGGCTCTCAACTTGACAGTCACAGTAGTAGTAGCAACTATCACGACAGCTGGGAAACTCGGAGTAGCTACCCTGAAAGAGACAGGTATCCTGAAAGAGACAGCAGAGATCAAGCAAGAGACTCTTCTTTTGAGAGAAGACATGGAGAGAGAGACCGCCGTGACAACAGAGAAAGAGGTTTGTCAAATGGAATATTATTACATAGTGGCCAACACTTTCACTCGGGGAATTGGATTTCTGAAACATTCAGTTTACTTTTTAATGTAACATGCCGTTAGAAACCTTGGCTTAACAACACGCTGGAGCTAGTTACTACCGTCTAGCCCTCCTCTTGGTTTTCTTTTGCACGGCTCCGAGGAATGATGTCAACAGAACAGAATGAGTGGATGCGGGCCCTGATGGGTATCCCCCATCTTAATGGAAAAGGCCCCAGCCCTCTGAAAGATATGGGTGTTTGGGTACCATCCCAGCTAATTCTCATTTCAGAGCTATTTAAACTTTCTCATCTGACTTCCCTGGCTAATCAACTGTGACAAATTGTCTCCTAACGACTGCCAGAGAGGAGCAAGAACAAATGATGATGGGCTGGGGATTGTGGGAATAAACTTTATTCATACTCCTTCTTGAGAAAATATATTTATATTTGCTTTAGCTGGATTTAAATTCTGGTATGTTCTAAGATGATATTTTTCTGCTAATCTGGTTGATGGTATCTTAAATTTTGAAGTAAAATTACTTAGAGGTATTTAAGAAGCGTTATTAGTGTGTTTTTATTGTCTGCCTATATTAAGGCCTCTAAACATTTAAAATATAGTGAAGGTCATCTAAACATTCTGGGTTGCTTACTAGAACAAAGTTTGCCATATACTGAGATTAATGCAGTATGAAACTTGATGGGCCAGGAAATTCTAAGTTGGTACCTCACTGGGGCTGAATCAAAGCGGTTAATTTGTATCTGATGTGGGTAGTAGTAGACAGCTTACAGACTCTGAGCACCCTGCATACTTTTGAGATCATAGATCTGAGACAGGAGAGTGGGTTGGGTTGAGTTTGCTAAGGTAAGCCTGACGCACTCAGGTTACACCCATGTAGGATTCTCTGTGTGTTCATATCTGAAATGATTTCCTCTCTAATATTTCATTCACCTGCCGGAACCTCTTTCTCTAATCAACTACCGTGTCTTGGTAATGCTTTTGAACATAGTATGTCATGGGGTGTTCTTGTTGTTTCCTTTTCCTTTTTTTATATCCTAGCTCAAATTTTTCTTACCTCATGTCTGGCTTCAGTGGCAACATTCGATTTCAGTCATATATGCAATTCAACCATACACTCATTGATTAGAGATTGGTGCTGAATTTGTGTTCTGACTTAATCTTTGCAGGGTCCATGTGTGTGTGGATGTGATCGTAGAATGGATGCTTTACAGTTTAGGCAAAAGGGGCTAAAAGAACCACTGCCATTGAATTGATTCTGTCTCACAGCAGCCCTGTAGGACCGAACAGAACTGCTCCTTGGGCTTTATAAGACTGTAAACCTTACAAGTACAGGCACCACATCTTCTGTAGAGCAGCTGATGGGTTTGTACCGCTGACTTTGCTGATAGCAGTCCCATGCTTGATCCACTGTAACCACTTTAATGAATATCAGTTGTAAAGTAGAAACCTATTTTAGAACTTGATACATTCTACAACTGTTTATTTATTAAGTACCCATGCTGGCCACTTTGCTCGGTACTTGGAATAAAAAGTTCCCATGTTTATAGACCTTAACAGGGAAGAATAGGTACTTGGAATAAATAGTGTTTATTCCACAACAGTATTCCTGTCTTTTTAGACCTTAATACCTCAAAAGGTTAAAGAAAGGTTAGTAAGTGCTATAAGGAAAGCAACAGGATACCATCGAGCTCTAAAGATGGAGAAACCCACTTGAGATCGAGTGCTTAAGAAAAGTTCGGGGAGACGACCTGCAGAAATGTGGCTGGAAGGGAAGAAGCCACGTTTGTAGAGACCAAGGATGAGCTCGCTTCATGTGGAGGGAGTTTGCCTGAAATGGGAAGTCGCCAAGTGGAGGCAGGATGAGAATGAAGACCTTTTGGCAAGAGAGTGGTGAGCAGCAGGGCGATGCTGGCTCTTGGGAATAGAAAGGTACTACTCCCAGACCTTGTCCGCTCTCTGAGGAAGCCCATCTTCCTTTCAGTTTCTTCCTGTCCAATCAGGATACAGAGAGAGTGGGACTGTGAAAAATGCTGTTCTTATATGTAGTCTCGGGAAGACAAAGGAGAAGTTGTAAGGAAACACTGTCGTCTGAAGTAGGATCTAAAGGAACAGTGAGAAGCACTTTGCCACGAGAGGGAGCGGCATGGGCGAGAACAGACGGAGGGTGCTGACGCGTGCTGCAGAGCAGGCAAGACTGATGCTCTGAGATCGGCGTGAAGCTACGCTGCTTCGACGGCCAGGAAAGATTGGCTGGAGTATAAATGTCCTAATAAGGCAAGCTAAACATTGTCATGTTACCTTTTCATTGCCTAAAAGACAACTGCGTTTATAGTCGCTGGAAGAAAGATCCTTTATTTAAAATACGTGTACGACCATCTGGGTAAATCTGAATGTAGAGATACCAGGCACCCAGGCCAGTGATGTAGTTAGTTTTCCAAGAAGAGCTGATCAGAGTCTGAGTTCATTTGAGGGAGCTTCAAAAGTTTGTAGGAATATTGCATTGTCTTTTAACGTAATTTTTCATGAACTTAAGTTGTACTAAATGAAAATATCAAAATGTGAAGTTCTTGTTTCTCTGCATATCCTCCAGTTGGGTCTCTACACTCTGGAAGGCATTGTTTCCATCGCACCAGCATTCCTAAAGAATTCTGTGCCCTTCAATGTATACCACATTTAAATGGCAACTTTGGCACCCTCAGGGGGCTCAAACCATGTTCCTTTTCAGTGCGCTTTGGGCGTTGGGAACAGAAAGAAGTCCACAGAAGCACAATCAAGGCTGTAGGGTAGCTAGGGCAAGGTTTCACTTTGAAATTCCCAGAGGACACCCTTGCTGTCCTTGAAGAATGAGTAGTTGCATTGTGATGGGGGCGGGGGGTTCTTGATATACTTTCCTGGTCGTTTCCTTAAGCCCCTAGGACCACCTATGTCCTTCAAGGTAATCAATTAAGAATACCCCCTTGGGAATAACCATAGCTTGAGTTCTCACTGCCAGCTGGCCCAGCAGATCTTCACGAAGCCCTGTTTTGATTTGACCTTTGTGTTTTGAAGGCACCTAATGACACTAAGGCACATGTATAACCGAGACCTTGTCTGCGGCCATCCACTGATTACAGAGACACGTGCATGCACATTTTGTTTGGAATAAGCACATGCGTGTCTGAATTGAATTTCTAGCTCTCATGGAATAGATAGGTGATGAATTAAGAAAACACAGTGAAACTGCTGAGAGCTGGAACTTGTCTGGCCTGACTTGCTTTTTCTGGTCTCACACATTTCCCTTTGACAGGAGGCAGTCCTGCCACTTCCTACTGTTTCTTCTCATGGAAAATCCGGGTTCTCCTCCTCTGTCCACTTTATATAGGTGTTACTGTATATGAAGAAGAAAACATTTGGAAGTAAGATAGCGGAGACACTGTAGACATACAAATGTGGTGTTCTGATATTATTTACATTTTCGTTTGATGTATGGATCATTGTCATTTAGTTGAAAGAATAGTTTTTATCTGCCAAAAAAGAGTACCTGCATAAAATAGTCTATATACTACCCTTTCTGTAACCAGAAACTGCACTATGAATTGGTGTAAGTTGTATTCCTCTCGGGTTACTTTGTAGGTCTTGTGGCATTGGGGTGATACTAAGATCAGGAAAGCAAACAGCTTATAAGAGGGGTGTATCATTCTGGGAATCCAAATGACACGCGTTAGAGCCCTTTTAAACTTTAGCCGGCTCCCACAAATGTGAAAGGATATAAAGGACTGACTTCTAGTTCTGATATCCTAATTCTGCTGCTGTCTCCGGGACTTTGGCACATTAATTCTGGACCATAGTTTTTGTGTTTTTAAGAAGAAAGGTGGGAAAGTTAGACAGGGCTTTGTTTGTTTTAGCTTCAAAATTCTGTGAACTTTTTAATTTTTTTTAAAGTTTGAGTGGAAAGAGTAAGTTTATTGAAGGGGGGATACCTAGGAAAAGAAGTCCAAAGAGCCCTTTACCTCATCTAAAAAGCTCTGGACCTACAACCTTCTCAAGAGTGAAAGATGGATATTTCCTGCCTTCTTCATCCGTGTAAAGGAAGGACATTCAAATTAGGATAGTTTCCTTCTCTTGAAATAATGCTAAAAATGATTTTGCTTAATAAATGGAAATGCTCCACTTAAGATACAAACTTGTTTGTCTCTGTAGTATGTATGTCCTTTATTGCTTAACCGATCGGCACTCTGTAGTATAGAAATAGAGCACAATAGCCTAGATCCTATCCCAGTGAGTTACTTAGAAAACAGGCGATTTATGGAAAAGCCCAAATTGTCCTCTTACATGTTTGATCCCCGAATCATGTCCTGCTCAATTGGGAATTTTAACATCATGCATTCATGTCCTCAAATGTTTAAAGATAAAGAAAAAAACAAAATTATAGTAGTAAGAAAAGTTGTGTCTTTGTGTGATTAGTGTTTTGATCGGAAAAAGTATAAAATGTGATGGGACTATCATTTAACATTTTTAGAAAATAGCTTCATCAAAGTGATGAAGTAAGTTTATTATTAGAAAATAATTTAAAACGTTATTACTGTTGGGAGTTAAATACTAATTATAAATATGTATCACTAAGATCGTCACTTTTTACATTTGCTTATTTCAAAATTGCTAAGCGCCATCCTAGTTTATGGTAAAAGAAATTGATATTGCAGCAACAAATATTGACAGATGTTTTATTCTGCTATAGTCCCTCACATAAGTAGCTGCACTGTGATGTGTATGTCTTTTGCCCTGAAATTAGAGGTGTGACTTACAAGGGGACATTTTTTTTTTCCTTTAGCTCCTTTGTTCTACACCTCCTGCTGCCCCTATCCTTTGCCACCAGTGTTCTCAGGTCCTGCTGGGGGGACAGAGAAGATCAGAGGTGAAGGGTAGAGATGGCAGAAAGTGGGCTTGGAGCAGTGGGCTGGAGGAAGGGTAGGGAGCATGCAGAGAAAAGTCGAGGTGGGTCCAGGGGAAATGGAGGGCGGGTTGATGGGAAGCAGAAATGATAGAGGGCAAATAAAATGTATATTTAAGAAAAAGTCCTGTAAAGTCTAGGGGTGTTTGTTATTTGGTTGATTAAAAGTAAATGTGGTGTCTGGTTTATAATTCATTGCTGGTGTGGCCATGTATGTATGTATATATATACACGGAGATAAAACTTAAGATTTGCCATGCTGTCTTACCAACAGGTTCTCTGTCCAATGAATCACTGACAAAACTTGGTTTTCATTGTAGATCAAAGACCAAGCTCACCAATCCGGCATCAGGGGAGGAATGACGAGCTTGAGCGCGATGAAAGAAGAGAGGAACGAAGAGTAGACAGAGTGGATGAGAGAAGAGACGAGAGGCCCAGAGACAGAGACCGGGAGCGAGAGCGGGAGCGGGAGCGGGAGCGGGAGCGGGAAAGGGAGCGAGAGCGAGAGAAAGAAAGAGAGCTAGAGAGAGAGCGGGCCAGGGAAAGGGAGCGAGAGCGAGAAAAAGAGAGAGACCGGGAAAGAGAGCGCGAGCGCGACCATGAGCGGGAGAGGGAGAGGGAGCGCGAGCGGGAGAAAGAGCAGCGGGAGCGGGAGCGAGAAGAACGGGAGCGGGAGCGGGAGCAGCGAGAGCGAGCCAGGGAGCGGGACAAGGAGCGAGAGCAGCGGCAGCAGCGGGAGTGGGAAGACAAGGACAGGGCGCGCGAGGACCGCCGCGAGAAGCAGCGAGACGACGCCCGAGAAGACAGGAACCCCAGAGAGGGCCACGAGGAGAGGAGAGCAAAGTAAACATCAGATGGCACATCCGTTTTGAGAGTTCTACTTCATTTAATGCTTTGCAGCACGCACCTTACCTGGCTGTTACTTTTCTGGCCATTTTCTCCAATTTCATGCATTTCAATTTTAAAAGAAATACTAGTTAAAACGTATTAAGTGTTTAAAATCTTTTGAATTATCTATGGGAAAATAACATCCCCCCCTTCTCCTCCTCGTTGATCCAGGGGAGGTTATTATTATAGGGCCGTTTTTTGGTAGCACAGTGGCTTACTCACCTTCTGCAGACTTTTTTTCTAAGAGGCAGTCAGTAGAGAAGTGGTAGAATCAGCCAAGCTGAGAAAGTGCACGGGGAGGTGGGTAAACCTGCTTTGCTGTCACTGCCCGGGTCTCCAGGAAGCAGTTGCACGGTTAGACCTGAGGGAGCCCCCGTGCTACGCCCTGCGTGGCTGCATGTGGGGCCTCAGAGTTGTCCCACCACCTCTGGGGCCACCTTCTCCACTGGGCGGCTGGCCTTCAGGAAAGGAACTCTCAAGGAGACAGGAGTGCTGGGACCATAGTTTCTGTAAACATGATGAGTAAAAAAAATTAGTCATAAAGGAAAATCTGAGCACTAAAAACGCTGCAATTACCCAAAACTAAACCCAAACCTAGTGCCACTGAGTCAATTCCTCGTACTCAGTGACCACATAGGACAGAATAGAGCCGTTTCCGAGACTAGAAGTCTTTATGGGAAACAGACAGCTTCTTGCTCCCAAGGGACTTCTGGTAGTGAGAACTCCCCATGCTGTGCTTAATGCACTCTACTGCCAGGGCTCCTTAGAAGTGTCCAAGAGACCAGTGCATTACTACTGAGTTCAAAGAATAATACCATGAACATTTGACTGCTTTATTTGTCATCAAGGGTGTGATCTATTTTGAAAAAAGGTAAACCGATGTTTATAGTATTTCCATAATATGCTTGGCATTGGACTTCGGAAGTTACTGATTTTTCCCTCGCTTTAATTTCCCCCATTTTCAGATGAAAAGTACAGGTTCTAGTAAGTTCGAGTAACTTACCTAAAGCTGAATGGCTGTAAATTGTACTCATTTGTTTGCTACTAAAGTCAATACTAGGTTTTCCCCTTCTGTTGCCCAACATAAGGCATTTTTGTATCATAATATGAAATTGGGAAATGTATTGAGATACATTAATCTATTTATCCCACTTTTAGATATCACCACTTTGCAGTATTTCGATCTGACCATTTTCAGTGGAAGTGAGTCTATACATATAAAAGAGCAAAAGAGAATACTTGTATCTAAAGCCTGCGATGTCCTTTGCAAATCAAATAAAGAATTTTATTGAAGATAGAAGTTAGAGTATGTTTTTTGCATGCTACAACTGACAGTACTACTGTCCTAGCATTGCATACTCTAATTATAACAGAAGGGCTGGCAACACATTTAGTAAGGGACCTCCTTCACCCACTGGACTGTTACAACTACACCTGTTCATCCCCTGTAGGAAGCGCTACAGAAACGAAGGGAGCCCTGGCCCTCGTCAGTCACCGAAGCGCCGACGCGAGCATTCTCCTGACAGCGATGGCTACAACAGTGGAGATGAGAAGAGTAAGCACACTGGATTTCTGTACTTTGTCTCTTTTTTATGCTGTTCTTTGCCTCGGTACTCACTTTGATTTTTAACCGCGAACTTAAAAACTGATCAGTTGAGACAGTTAAATATTTGTGCTCTGATGACTCTTGTCGTTAAAATAGCTGTGTTAGAAATACAGTTATTGTAGCACATGACGCTGTTATTTTTTTAATCATTTTATTGGGGGCTCACACAACTCATCATAATCCATACATACATCAGTTGTATAAAGCATATTTGTACATTCGCTACCCTCATCATTCTCAAAACATTTGCTCTCCGCGTAAGCCTCTGGCATCAGTTCCTCATTTTCCCCCCTCCCTCCCCGCTTCCCCCTCCCTTGTGAACCCTTGATAATTTATAAATTATTATTTTGTCATATCGTACACTGTCCAATGCCTCCCTTCACCAACTTTTCTGTTGTCCATCCCCCAGGGAGGAGGTTATATGTAGATCCTTGTAATCGGTTCCCCCTTTCTACGGCACCCTCCCAGTATCGCCACTCTCACCACTGGTCCTGAGGGATCATCTGTCCTGGATTCCCTGTGTTTCTACTTCCTATCTGTACCAGTGTCCATCCTCTGGTCTAGCTGGATTTGTAAGGTAGAATTGTGATCATGATAGTGGGGGGCAAGGAAGCATTTAGGAACTCGAGTAAAGTAGTATGTTTCATCGTTGCTACACTGCACCCTGACTGGCTCGTCTCCTCCCCGCCACCCTTCTGTAAGGGGATGTCCAGTACCTACAGATGGGCTTTAGGTCTCCAGTCCACACTCCCCCTCGTTCATAATGATATGAGTTTTTGTTCTTTGATGCCTGATACCTCATCCCTTAGACACCTCGTGATCACACAGGCTGGTGTGCTTCCATGTGGGCTTTGCTGCTTCTCAGCTAGATGGCCGCTTGTTTACCTTCAAGCCTTTAAGACCCCAGACGCTTTATCTTTTGATAGCCAGGAACCATCAGCTTTCTTCACATTTGCTTATGCACCCATTTGTCTTCAGCGATCGTATGTGGGAGGTGAGCATCATGGAATGCCAGTTTAATAGAAAAAAGTGTTCTTGTATTGAGGGAGTACTTGATTGGAGGCCCGATGTCCATCTGCTACTTTAATACTAAACCTATAAATATATGTACATAGATCTATTTCCCCATCATATACATATTTACATATGTACATATGCCTTTATTTAGACCTCTATAAATGCCCTTTGCCTCCTAGCTCTTCTATTTCCTTTTACTTTTCTCTTGTCCCACTATCTTGCTCAGTCTTCATTTGGATTACAGTAATTCCTCTTGGTTACATTGCCCTTGATCACGTCCTACCAGGTGTCCTACACCCTCTTCACCACCGATTTGGATCATTTGTTGTTCCCTTGTCCCTGGGTTTGTTAACACCACTTCCTGCCCTCCCATGTCCCCCCAGAACTGTTAGTCCCGTTTTCTTCTCCTCCAGATTGTTCATCCAGCCTATCTTATTTAGACAGACCCGCGGAGATAATAACATGCACAAAAAGAAGACAGAGCAGAACCAAGCAACAAATGAAAGCAAAACAACAACAAAGAGCCAATGACAAAACAAAACAGCGACAACAAAAAAAACATAACACAACAATAACCAAAAAAAAAAAGCTTGTAGTTAGTCCAAGGACTGTTTATTGGGGCACTGTCATTTTCTACTACTCATGTAAAGTCACAGATATTTTTAATTTTGACTGAAAGTAGTGCCATTTAAAAATAAAAAATGCAAACTTGGTTTATTACTATTTAGAGTCACTGCAATGTTTGCTGATAAATGTGATTCCTTTTATCTTTTTTGTAGATGAGAAACACAGACTCTTGAGCCAAGTTGTACGGCCTCAGGATCCTCGTTCTCTCAGCCCCTCACACCTCCTAGAAGACAGGCAGGGGAGATGGAAAGAGGAGGACCGGAAGCTAGAAAGGAAAGAGAGCTCGCGGCGCTATGAGGAGCCGGAGGTCAAAGAGAAGTTTTCTTCTGTAGATAAGCAGAGGGAGCTGGCAGAAATCATGGAAAGTTCAAGAACACGTGCCCAAGACCTTCTTGGACACCACCAGTCTGATGATCGAGATATAGCTGATCGAAGTCATGAGGAGAACAAGAGAAGGGTGAAAATTCAAAAGAAGCCCATTAAGAAAAAGAAAGAGGAGGATGTTGGGGTAGAGAGGGCGCATGCAGAGACAACATCTGAAGATAGCCAAGTATTTTCACCCAAAAAGGGGCAGAAGAAGAAAAGCGTTGACAAAAAACGTAAGCGGTCCAGAGGTGACTCTGACATTTCTGATGAAGAAGCCGCTCAGCAGAGTAAGAAGAAGAAAGGCCCGCGGACCCCCCCTGTTCGAGCTAAGGGGGACGTGGTCGGGGTGCCCCGGAGCAAGGAGGGCGCTGTCGAGGAGCCTCAGAAGAAAGAAGACACGGCCTTCAGTGACTGGTCTGATGAGGACGTGCCCGACCGCGCAGAGGCCACGGAGCCAGAGCACACGGCCGGCACTGCCATGCCCGTTCTCTCGTCCACTCCCCTGTCTTCGCTCCTCCCTCCTCCTCCTCCTCTGGCTACGCCAGCGACCACCCCTTCCATCACACCCACCGCCTCCATTTCCACTGCTGCCACCAGTGAAGACACTCATCGAAAGTGTCACCGAGCGCGAGTGGAGAAGATCGAGTCACCGCATGTTTCTGTAGACGACGCACCACACCGCAGACCGGCGGATCAGAAGAGGAGCAGCAGCCTCGGGAGCAACCGGAGTAATCGCAGCCACACGTCTGGCCGCCCCCGCTCCCCGTCCACCGACTCTGCCCATCGAGGGGCGGACGACCAGAGGGGGCGGGCGAGAGCGCTGCATAGTAGTTCCAGAGACAGGGAGAAACCCAAGAGCCTGGAGGTGACGGGCGGCGAGAGGAAGTCCAGGGTTGATCAGTTGAAGCGGGGGGAGCCCAGTCGAAGTGCTTCTTCAGGTAATAAACTCAGTTTTGTTATAGCCAGTGTTTCCCATGTTAGTATCCTTCTAAGCGAATTCTACATTGGTTGCCTTATGTGCTGTCAAGTTTTATAGAACTTAGAGGAACACATACGTGTCTCATCAAAATCCTATTTACCTCATCATTTGTGATAGCTGTGTTCCACAATTGCCTCAAGCACTGAATTAATCACTATGAAGCCATTGCCCCGTAGGAAATACAGGAATAAGTTCCTGTGAGCCTCTTGTCACAAGGTTTTTGTCATATCAATCAAGACATAGCCTAGATTTATGTGTATTCCTTTTTAAAGACACCCTATTTATTGTATTTTTTTAATATAATAAAATGCTAGCCAAGGAGGAATGAACATATCCTGATCCAGGGAAATGTGATGTAAATGTTAGCCTCACCGTGCTACTGTTCACTACACTTCTTTTCTTAACCAATTGCCATCTCATGAATCCACAAATTTAGCTGCTGCTTCGTCTCTCCCATCATGCACTGTAGATGTTACCTTATTTTATTCTCTTCTTGGCTTTAACAAACAAGAGGTGAGCTCCGAATTCTGGGAGTGCAAACTCGATGCTCATGTTGGTGGAGTGCTGCCTCTATCAATACGGGGAAGACCCTGGCTGTGTGCTGATCGTCATGTGGTACGGCATGGATACTCCCCCATGTCTGCCTCTGTAGATGTTCGTTAGCACTTCAAAGCAGCCCTACGGATACGACTTTCCTCTTTATCTAGATGCATGCCATCATCGATTCATTTGCATTAAATTCGCAGCCAACAACACTAAAACCCATGCTTCAACAAAACTAACACACGTGGTTTCTCAGCAAGGTACACCACAGCCTTCTGCACTTAACAGCACCAGACAGCACTTTAACATTGTGCTTGGTGGCCATCATACATGGCAAAAGCACCAACAAAATAGGCAAAAATGTGAAAGGCAGGGACTAAATAGATTGTAGGAAGGATGGTAGTTTACAGTGTGAGAAGGCAGCACTTTGTTTTACCACGTCTGGGAATGTGTGTGTTGGGCAATTCAAATTGTTCACCACTCCATCACTACTAGTGACTGAAAGCACCATGACCATTGATTTTGGTGTCTCAAGTAGGTGACTTCCCAGCTGTGGAATCCACAAATAAGAATTGATAGTATCACCTGTTACTACATTAATACTAACATTATAAGAGAGGTACACTCAATGATACCAGCTCTCTAACTTTATTAGTACATAATCCAGATATCCGACCATTCTGTAGTTCAGTCATGTCAAGTGTGGTACATATCTACCACAGTCAGTTCCGAAACATTTTCTTCCTTCTTGTACTCCTTGATGTCAGCTCCCCAGTGCTCTTTCTACTTCCCCAGCTGTACTCAGCAGGAACCCTCAGTCTAGTTATTGTTTCTAACACAGAAGAATACTTAACAGCGTTATGCAGGAAGGCTAACAACAACAGCAGATACAACAGAGAAAAACCCTAGTTTGGAAAACAACCCCCCAAAATACTAAAACCCCTATCAAGCTCATGGTGTAGCATTCCAGCCAGCGGGGAGCCCTCAGACACATTAATGACTGCTCACGACACGAGACGAGTCCCGGAGGAAAGGGAGAGGGGCCTCCCCAGCTTCCCCGCTCAGTGGTTTCTGTTTGCACACCAAAAGAGAAGGTGCACCCAAGTTCAGATGCAGGGCCCTCTCTAAGGTGCACTGACTTCAGACTCAGTGTGTTTTCATGATTCATAATTAGACAATCTCACACTCAGGCACATTCTCACTGAGCAATTCCTTCTGTCTCCTTATCTCTCAAACTAGCACATTCTGTTTGCAGTACGAAATCTTGTCACTCAACGTGAGCGCCAAGTTCCTGGCACATGCAAACAGTCATGCACTCAGGGTTGACTAAGAGTCTTTGCACCCAAGCAGCCCTCCCAGTGGGCGCAGGGCAGTGTTTGCCTACATCAAAAGGTGTCCGATTGGAGATCAAATGATAAGGTTTTAACCATTCAAGTCAGCTTTTTCATTTTGATCTACTGTAATCCTCTCTGCAATACTCTGTATGATAACCAGGCTGTTCCCAGCCTTCAGTTATGGTTAGTGGGAAATCACTGAAGACTTATTCCATGTGTAGATTCTGCAAATATATTTTGAGCTTCCACTGTCCTCTAGAGCCTTCTGCACACCAATTTCAGGTCTCGTACCATTCTCCTCTCCCCACCCCCTCCCCAACCACTCACCCTCATGAATCCTTGATCAATTATATATCGTTATTATTATTTCGTATCTTACACTATCCACTGTCTCCCTTCACCCACATTTCTGTTATTCGTCCCCTGCGGGGTGGGGGGACCTATATATCCAGTTTTGTGATGGGTTCCCCTTTTCTTACCCTTCCCCCTCTCTGACCATCCCCTTACCCTCATGATAACGCTGCACCCACTATTCCTGAGGGGTTTATCTTCCCTGAATTCCATGTCTCAAGAGCTTGTATCTAGACCAATGTGTGTGCTCCGGTGTAGCCAGATTTGTAAGGTAGAGCTGGGTCATGGTACTGTGGGGGGAGGAAGTATTCAGGAAGTAGAGGAATGTTTCACGGTATATTTAATGTGCCTGGATATTACAAATAGTTATCACTCTACTGCTAACCTAAATGTTGACCGTTTCAAACCACCCAGGCACGCTACAGAATACAGACCTGGTCATCCGCTTTGGTAAAGATTATGCTTAAGAAACCCTAAGGAGCAGAATCAGCTCAGCGAGAATGTTTGTGTTTTTAACAGTATGTTTTGAAATCCAAAAGCGAGTCCTCCCACTTTGTTGCTCTTTTCGAAGATCGCTTTGGTTGCTTGACCCCCTTGCGATTACATAGAGAACCGTTAATAACACGATCAGTTCGGATAATGCCTACCCATTTTATGTACTTATTTCTTTTTTAAGTTATTTCTGGTTATACGTAGAAATAAGTCAGAAAATACGGGTAGCACTTTAATTCCGAGAGATTAAATTGTTCTTAACTAGAGCTATTTGGACAGCTGAGACTATATACAGAAAAAGTAAAATTTTAAAAGCCATGGAAAGAAATAGTTTGTCTCTGTTTTATCAAGTATTAACTCTTTGTCTGTGGAATATTCATTTTAGATCGCCAGGATTCAAGAAGCCATAGTTCAAGAAGAAGTTCTCCTGAGTCCGATCGACAAGTCCATTCCAGGTCCGGGTCATTCGATAGTAGAGATAGGCTGCAAGAACGTGATCGGTATGAACATGACCGAGACCGGGAGAGAGAGAGGAGAGATACAAGGCAGAGAGAATGGGACCGAGATGCCGACAAGGATTGGGCACGGAACAGGGACCGAGACAGATTGCGAGAACGAGAGAGAGAGCGAGACAAAAGGAGAGAGTTGGATAGAGAGAGAGAGAGGCTGATTCCAGATCCTGTTGAAAGAGAAAGGGACCGAGACCGAGCCTTTGAGACTTCTTCCCAGTCGGACTCTGTCAAGCGCAGTGAGACAAAAGTGGAAGGTGAACACGAGAGAGACCTGGAAGGCACTGCCCGCGATCCGCTAGGTCTCAATAAAGAGAGAGCAGATAAAGACCTGGCGTCTGCCCAAGCGTTTGAAGATAGCAGTAAAGCAGAGCGAGCAGAGAGTGTGGAAGGTGAGTGCCACTTCTTGCTCGTTCCATGGCTCCAGTCCTCTTAGCGGAGGGAGCATAGCCATTCTTCCACAGCCGCAGCAGTCCGGACAGGTCTTGATTACCCAGTTCCAGATGTTAATTGTGGCTCTTCACGTTTTCATCGCCATGTTGAGTATAAGTAACATTAACTCTTTAACCTTGGTATTCATGGAGGCACAACCTTGGTGTATAATTGAAAATAAGTGAAGTAACTGGCACCCTCCTGATACAGGCTCTATCATATGCTATTTGTGACCACAAATAACAGCACAGAAACGTATGTGTTGTAAAGATTTCATTCCCTTAGAATAGGAAAATGAGCTGTATGAACTTGAGAATTTCCAACTCCCACTCAGTGTTTGAGGGTGTTAGTAAAGAGGGTGAACTTGGGTGATGGCACGCTCATGTGGCGACCTAGCCTTGAGTTGGTTCTGATTCATGGCAAGCCCGCGTGTGGCGAGCAGAGCTACTCCACGGACCTTTCAGAAGTAGATTGCCAGGAGTGTCTGTCAAAACCCTTTTAACCGTCACTAAACATGTAACTACCTGCACTGCCTAGATGTTATAGACATGATCTGCCAAAAGGACCAAGGCATCTGTCTTGGAAGCAGTACGACCCGAGTGCTATTTCGAGACAAGGATGGTGAGATTTCATCTTCACACACTTTGGGCATGTCAGCAGGAGAGAGCAGTCCCGAGAAAAGGACAGCATGCACAGTAAAGCAGAGGCCCTCGATGAGATGGAGGAGCGACACAGTGGCTGCGACAGTGGGCCCCAGTACAGGAAGCGTGGTGAGGATGGCGCAGGACTGCGCTGTGTTCTGACCCGTTGTGCATTGGGTCACTGGGAGCCAGAACCGACGCAGTGGCATCTAACAACAACAGATGTCACAGAGCAGCGCTTCTCCACCGTCCTCAGCCGCGGCCCTTTAGTCCGCTTCCTCGTGCTGCGGTGACCCCCAACCATACAGTGATTTTCATTGCTACTTCCTCACTGTAAGTTTGCTACTGTTACGAATTGGACAGCCCCTGTGAAAGGGTCATTCGACCCCCAAAGGGGTCGCGACCCAAAGGTTAAGGACCGCTGTTATAGAGAGATTACTATAGAATTTCATAGAACAGAAAATCACTAGAGTGGTGAAAAAACATCTCATAGTTTCTTACATTTGTCAATTTATACGTGCTGCAATTCTTAAAGTTCTCACTGGCCATTCTTCTTGGAACGTGAGGAGATGGCATAGGTGCCAAGTCTTACCTCCTGTGGCTGCTCGAAAGAAGACTTCATCTTCCCGTCTGTTCACGTATGATTCCTGCGCAGCAGAGGTCAGGCATCCCTCCCTCCACCCTCCAGAATTCTTCAGCACTCCTCCCGTGAGATGCTACGTCTCTTCTGGGTTCAAGAACTCAGACAATACTCTGAGTTTAGGGGTACATTAGGGACGTTAACAGCACCCAGTCAAGATCAGAAAACATTAAAAATGCAGGCCTTTTATCTGCAAGAATGCTGCTTCTCAGCGAGCACATCGCCCTCAGGTCTTCAGCCTCTCAGCTACATGACTTGTTGGCCTCTGCCCTGCTGGGGCAGGTGCTAGCAAGTTCATTTTCCACTGTTCAGTATCCAAAGAGCCCTCCACGCTGCAGGCCGAAGCGCCCAGCTGTACCTGTTCTGGAAACCCACCCCTCGGGCTCCTGCTCCTGCACAGCGACTGTGCTCTCTCGCGGACTCAGTGTGGCAGCCTCTGCTCCCTGGGCCATTTAAGGCAGGGTCTCCTACTTGCTTCCCTCCTCGTTCTTTCCTGGTGGCTGTGGATTCCTCTGTTCCAGAGGTTCTCAACTTGTGGGTCGTGACCTCTTTGGGGGTTGAATGGCCCTTTCACAGGGGTCACCCGATGCACAACAGCAGCAAAATTGCAATCATGAAGTAGCAACAAAAATAATTTTATGGTTGGGGGGTGGGGGTGTCACCACAGCGTGAGGAACTGTATCAAGGGCTCGCAGCATTAGGAAGATGGAGAAGCACGGCTCCATTCAAACTTCTGAGAAGGCTTACATTTTGTGACTCCTTTCAGACTCAGCAGAAGAGTCGATAAATCAGTCCCCTAGTTCGAGTCCTATATACCTTATTTACATGTTTGTTTGATGGGGGTTACAAAGACTATGACTAGAAGAGTCCCCACCAAGATAGGAAATTCATCATAATAGTTTCATATCACTGTAGAAGGGAATTACCAAGTCCTTCTTCCTAGTCTTAAGTCTGGAAGCTCTGCTGAAACCTGCCCACCACCTATGGGATAGTGGTATTTGAATAGCGATGACATAACTTTATCAGCATCACAGCAGTACCCCAGCCACCATAGTGTGACAAATTGAACGAAGAACACATCTGTCTTGGAAGAAGTACAGCCAGAACACTCTCTAAGATGAGATTGTGAGACTTCAACTCAGGTATTTCGGATATGTTGTCAAAAGCTACCCTTCCCTTGAGAAGGATATAGGTACAGTGGAGGGGCAGCAAAAAAGAGGGAGCCCCTCGGGATGGGACTGACTCAAAGACTTCAACCGTTGGCTTAAACGTAATGATGGTGAGATTGATGCAAGAGATGATGAGTCTAAACGAGATGCTGCCCACTTACTTGCATCTGGTGCTGGAGAAGAGAAGGATGCGAGCCAATCAGTGATGATGAAGTAGCTGAGATTCTGGCAGGTGATGTGGAGAAGAAGGATCAGAAAGAAGCAGCCATCTGCAGAGGCAGTTGAATTAAGGGTTATGTGATTGTGTTACGCATGCAGTCGCTATGAGTTGGAACCAACATCTAACAACAACAACAAATATATACCCGTTAAGGATGCTGTTCATTTTGAAAAGTAGTTTTAGAGACTCCTTAAAGTTAGCAGTATTAAACATACTTAAATTCACAACTAACTCACCAGGAGACAAAATTGGCAAAGTAATAAAGTAGAATATATACTACTAGAACTAAGAGATATTTTGAATTAGTATTACAAGGTTCTTCTGAATATTATATTCAGTATTTAAGGGAAAATACTGGTATAGGTAAGAGAAACGGTGCTAAATTGTGTTTGTTTAATTAACAAGTTTATTTAGTTTAAGAAATTACTGTCACCGTTTGAAATTAGATTTTTCTAGATTTAAATTTTATTAGCAAAAATTAATACAACACATAGAGTAAACAATATGTTAATGGTAGCTTTTAATTTCTCACATTTTAATTATAGTCCTTTTACAGTGCTGTTGCTGTCCATGTAATAGCTTTGTATCAAAACCAAATTGAATAAATAAAATTTTATCTTTTCAGTTTCCTTTTGTAATTATTAAATGTTTCAGTAATAAAATAAAATTGTTTGCTGATAATAACATGGCTTTCAGAGTGCATAGCCCTGACCTCAGGACATCTTAAGCATCTATTCACGTAGAAGCTCTTTGTGACATGAAGTTACTTTCTATGTTTAGCAGGAGATGAGGAGTCCAAGTTAGATGATGCCCACTCCTTAGGATCTGGTGCTGGGGAAGGATACGAGCCCATCAGTGATGATGAGCTGGATGAAATTCTGGCGGGGGATGCCGAGAAGAGGGAGGATCAACAGGACGAGGAGAAGACGCCAGGTAGTCATTTGCAGAAGTGGTTGAACTTAAAGTTACTTGATTTATTTTAAGGCCATTAGAATCATCTGTAGTGTATTTTAATTAATTTTGCAAGCCCAGCAAAATGCAAATCACTGTCTACATCAGGGAATGTCGATAAGGTTGTGGGAAATCATTATCTTTTCGTTCCATTTACGTGAGCCTTTCGGAGCTCCTCATATGGCCTTCCATATTTAACTCAGAGAAGTCAACATCGCCTACGAATTAGAAAGCCTCATTTAAAATAGTGAAATTCCAAGATTCCCTTACCAGAATTTAAGATTCATATTACTTGACCTGGAATCTTTTCAGATGTATCAGTTTTCTAAATTCAATAATCATTCTTTTGATTTCGAGTTCTTCTGCATTGTCAGACAGTTCACGCTGGCGACAACACCAGAAGCAGCACTCCTGGGCAGTCTCGTTGAAGGATCCCAGTTAGTCTGATTGCTCTTAACATGCTTCTAGTCATCGTTAGTAAGGGTCTTTACTTTGGGTTTTTAAGACATTAACTTTTTATTTTGATTTAATTAGCAACTAAACTCATAATTTCCATTCATGTAGAAGAGATATATGATCATTAGGTTTGTTATTATCTCATATTAGTTAGTAGAACTTTGTTTTGCTAGATTTCTTAGTTTGTTCTTAAGGAATAGATTATTTGCCCTCAATGTTAATAAAAGGGTTATCTGAGTCTTTAAAGAATTTGATAATGAATTATTTGTTTTTAAAAAGTAAAATATGTGTGTGTGCATGTGTACAAACATGCATACAAATATATTCCTAGATTTAACCTTCTAAGACTTCTGAGGCCAAGTTTCATAGTCATCTGACTAAATCTTAGTAGAAGATTGTTTTTTTTCTTGTGAGCTCCCTCTTGCAATGAAAATGAATTGTATGTGAGCTAAGATTATTTTATTTCCTTTTTTATTTACTTGTCCCTTTGTGTGTGTTGGGGCAGGAGGGTGTTGTTCATTTGCAAATTTAAAACCACGACATTTTGGTTTAAAGTGCGTTTTATTTAATGCTTTCTCTATTTTGTCTTGCTCCATAGGAAATAAAAATACAGCATCATAATATGTTTTAAAAATCTACCCTTTGTTGCACTGTTTACAGATCCGCTGGATGTGATAGATGTGGATTGGTCTGGCCTTATGCCAAAGCACCCAAAGGAACCCCGAGAGCCAGGCGCTGCTCTGTTAAAGTTCACGCCTGGAGCGGTCCTGCTCAGAGTTGGGATCTCACAAAAGTTAGCAGGGCCTGAACTTTTGACCAAAGTCAAAGACACATGCCAGAGACTTTTAGAAAAGCCCAAAGGTAATTCCACTTCACCTTGTAGATAATGTATGCTGCAACTATTAGTATCGGTTTAGAAAGGATCCCACTGTGTTTTAGGTAGCATTTACAATATAGAAACTGTGTGTGTGTGTGTGTGTGTGTGTGGTCATTATTGAATCCCCATCTTCAAAAATAGTTCAAAAAACTTGCTTTGAGGGGGGAGCCAACAAATTCCGGAACATGGGAACAAGAGATCCAAACTTGATGGCGAGGTGGGCGTAGAATGCCTCGTGGGGTTTGATCAATGCGATGTAGCCTAGAGAAAGTACTGAGAGCCAAATGAAGGTCAAACATGGTAGTGAGACAGGAAGAACGTAAAAAGAAATAGAGGAAAGAATTAGGAGGCAAAAGATCTTTATAGAGGTGTAAATGCAGGCATGTACATATGTAAATATATTAATATATAACAATAGGGATCTAGGTCTGTGTACATGTATTTAAAAAGGTAGCAGACAGGCAGTAGGTCTCTACTCAAGTCCTTCATCTGCACAAGAACATTTGTTCTAATAACCTGCATTCTGTGATGCTCACCTTGCTGACATGGAAGAAGCACACCAGCCCGTGTGATCACAGGCGGTCAACAGGATCAGGTATCAGGCATCAGAAGACCCCAAACAAATATATTGATGCAAATGATGGGGATCAGAATGGAGACTTAAAACCCATTTGTAGACATTGGATATTCCCTCACAGAAGGGTCACAAGGAAGGGATGAGCCAGCCAGGGTGCAGAATAGCACCAACGAAATATAAGCATTCCTCTAGTTCTTTAGTACTTCCCCCACTCCCACTATAGTGACCCCAATTCTATCTTACAAATCTGGCTAGACCAGAGCATGTACACTGGTACAGATACACTGGACACATGGAATCCAGGACAGATAAAACCCCTCAGGAACAATAATGAGAGTAGCAATACCATGAGGGTAGGGAGAAGGCGTGGGGAGAAGGGAGAATTGGGGAACGGACTACAATAATCAGGGTAAAGCACCCTTCCCCCCACCCCCATGGGGATGAACAACAGAAACGTGGGTGAAGGGAAATAGCAGATGGTGTAAGATATGAAAATAGCTTATCAGGGGTTCACAAGGGTGGGAGGGGGAGGGAGGGTAAAAAGAGCTGATACCAAGGGCTCAAGCAGAAAGACAATGTTTTGAAAAGGATGATGGCAACATATGTACAAATGTGTTTCATACAACTGATGTATGGATTGTTATAAGAGCTGTAAGAGCCCCATATAAAATGATTTATTAATAAAAAATAATTTAAAACTTATTTTGAGAAAAAATTTAATTCACAAAGTAATTGTCAAAGGAGTGCAGTGCACTGTATCAACATTCCTTTTTAACACATGAGTACATAACACACGTCAACCTGCTTCGTTCTCTACCCAAAGCTAAACAAAGCCGGACCTAGACAACTAGCCAAGACACTCTTCATAGCTCAGTAAATCAGGTGTCTTGGAATTTCTTCCCCAGGGAAATTGTCCTGAAATGCAGCTGTGAAGGTTAAGAACTAGTTCTCCAGGGCCAGGTGATCTGAATTCCAATTGGCGAGTGGAGGGAGGGGGTGTAACCACCTACTCGTTAATAATATATATACTGTTTATGGACTGTGTAGGGATTCAACTTCTACTTGATCTTCTTTAACGTGCCTGCCTTACTCTATTTGGGCAGCCTATTAATATCTTTGTTTGATAGGAAAGGGGAAGAATGGGTAATGAAGATAAAAGTAATAGCATTGTTTAACAGTTTTATGTCATTTCCCTGGGAATGTCTGGCAGGGGAGGTAGGTGCAGAGAAATTTAGTTAAAATTAAATTTTTTACTCATTTGAAATTGCAAAAAAAAAAAAATTCCTTAATGAACTTTATCAGTTAATCTGCGTCCTGTTTCACCTGTTAGCATAAGCAACAAACTCTTGGTTTCATTATAAACAAAGAGTATTAAACCTTTGTATTAAATATATAGTGGGGGCTTTTTAAAATTCGTGGGAAAAGTGGACTTAATAGAGCAGAATTTAGCACAAGCATTTGAAGTGCCCTTATGTGAGTGATAACATGAATGCATAGTAACCCAAAAAATGAGCATGATTTGAATGCTTGTCCTGGCTCTTTCTGCACTTTTGGTTGGCTCGTGTCCTTCAGCAGGGAACTGCTGTGGTCCCTGCTGTGGTCTTACTTGCGTTTGTGCAAGGATCGAGTACAGCCTCCGGGGTCTTACTCACACACAAACTGTTTGCTCCTCTTGCTTTTGTTCATCACACTTCAAGTTAAAATCGAGTTTGAGTTCTCTAACTCTGGAACAGTTTTGGCCTTATCTACTTAACTTACCTAAAGAATGAAAATACATCTGTGAAAGGTTTGATTGTTGTTTATCAATCATACTACTCTTTTTTTCTGTTTTTGGCTACTGTCATAGCTCTGTTAGGAAAGTGACATGTTATGCTCCATATAAATTTCCGAAGGAAAAGGATTTTATTTACTTTACTGCTCTATGCAGGGACTAGTTACCTATTTTCTCTAATTGTCCCGTTGTCTAGAACAGAGCCTAATGCACAATAGGTGTTAAGTAACTGAACACTGAAGCAATGGACCCTGCTGTCTCGATTCTGTGGGGTCTGGTGCAGTTGCCTCAGCACTGGAGAGGTTATTCCTATCCCCACCGTCTATAGAATATTTTTTTGTTAAGTCTGAAACACAAAAGCAGTATCTTGTATATACTAAAATTAAAGTTGATCTTGTCTAGGTGTGCAAATTGCATTTTGGTGAAGTTCTTTTGAACTAAGCTTCCCCAGTCAGTTTTGACTTTGCTTTAATTTTATTTGGACATTCGTTTTAAACCTTTATGCCACCAAGACTCTCTTCATGTCCCCTCTCTTCTGTGTTTACAAAGTAATTTATAGCAAAATAGAGTCATGTGTTTGTATCAACCTAATTACCTTAATATTTATTTTCAAGTTTTCTTTATGCTATCTTCAGGAGCTTTGGTAATATGGTAGATTAAATGGTATACAGCTAACCACAAGGTCAGAAGTTCAAACCCAACCAGCTGCTGTGCAGGAATAGATGGAGCTGTCTCTTGTCAAGGAGCAGTTCTATTCCCAGGCAACTCCTCCCGAGGGGGGTGGGTTTGTTTATAGACTCAATGATACGGTTAAAGACAGGAGACATCTTTCACCACAAGGGGGCTTTAAAGGTTTGTGGAAAATTCTGTGATCTTTATTTTTCCACAAACTGTTTGAAGGCTCCTTGTGCATAAACCGTGTATATGCTTTGCAGTTTGGAAAGGTGAGATGTGTAATGTGTGCTTATTTGGATCACTGGCTGCATCTATTCTGTTTTCACGTCCTTGTGCCCAATTTTAACCTAGCATCTTAATTCTTTTCAAATAACTTGTGTTCTTAAATTTTATAAGTTTAAGTGTTTTCTCTTTAGCTTGCATGTTATAACTTAAATCTGAGTGGTTTTAATTTCATACATTGTCCTGGATTTTATAATGACCAGTGCTATGAGAAGTTGTGCAACTTATCTGCCAAAGACTTTACCACATTGGAAATTACAATAGTATTTTTTCAAAAGTCACAGTTATAAATAGTGTTTGAGCTGAATCTTGTTATCAAATAACTGTTCTGGAATCTAGAACTGTAAGAAATAGTTGATGTTAAGCACTGTACTGAACTCAAATCCACTGATAAGAACTTGATCTTTTCTTCTCGTAGCCAGGAACCAGTGTCCGATTTTCTCTCAAGTCTTTCCTTCTGTCTTTGACAGAGTAGCTGTCAACATACATATTCTGTTTGATAACAGCAACTCAATTCTATGTTTCAGTGCCCTTCACAGAAAATTTATTGCCTTTAATATAAAAATTCTTTTCACTGATATTGCCAACTTTAATAAAGTTATAGACGTTATGGAACAGTCAGCTAAGTAGGTAGTAATGCTTTCTTTCCTATTTTAGGGAAACTTAATGCATGTTCATTTTTATTGAAAGATGCAGACAGTCTTTTTGAACATGATCTGGGGGCTCTCAACATGGCGGCCTTGCTGCGGAAAGAAGAAAGAGCCAGTCTTCTTAGCAATCTTGGACCATGTTGTAAAGCCTTATGCTTCAGACGGGATTCTGCAATTCGTAAGCAACTTGTCAAAAATGAGAAGGTACAGTCGTTTCTTTGGAAGAAATGTAAAATGCGTATGCAGTAGCATGGAATGGCTCCTCTTTTCTTTGTATGGCTGTCAAGTAAGACGAAAATTTTTCTTGCCTGTTTTTATGCCCTAGTCTTTTTCTAGATGTAAAAGGAAGAATGACTTAAGATATGTAAAAATGTAAATACTCTCTCTGAGACACTCACTTGCAGAAAGCTGTAAATAGCAAACATGTAGATTTATGCAAGTTGAAGACCGAGAAGAAATTTGCCAGGCACTGGGTGAGGAGATGATGTGTGGGAGTGCTGTTTCCGAGAAGGTGGGAAATAAGTGAGTGGTGATTGTGCAAACACGTCCTTGAGGAGAAAAGGGGAAATGGACAGTTAAGAAAAAGGTATCTGAAATGGAAAGAGATCTGTCAGTGAGAGCCTCTTGTTGTTGGGGCCACTACGTCGGCTCTGCGCCTAGCGACCTCATGTCGTCCCGTACCCACCCAGTGCTTTGCCATCTTCACAAGCGTTCCTGTGTGTGAGCCCATCGGTGCAGCCACTGAGCCCGCTGGGGTAGGGGTTTCATGTTGGGCTACTAACCAGAAGGTCAGCAGTTTGAAACCACCAGCCACTCCGCAGGAGGCTTTCTGCTGCTGTACAGACTTAGTCTTGGAACACCGCCGGGGCGGTGGTACCTGGTTCTGTAGGGTCACCAATGAGTCAGAACTGACTGGATGCCAGTGAGCTCTTTGAAAGAGAAGACTTCGTAGGCATTTTAAAATTAAATAACTGTGATATTTATTAGGGAATCGAGTAGGAGTTATAGGTAGTATGACAAAAGAGTTGATGCTACAGGAATACTGTACAGTTACAGGAATACGGAATACATGATAGATCTTTGAAATAATGAAAAATCGTTTCATAGGTACTTTCATTCCTGCCCCTATGTAATCTTCCCGTGACAACATATTTCCATTTTTATTACTTTTTATATGGGAAACCTGAGATTATTTCTGGATTGATAACATCACCAAAGAAGAAAGATACCTTATTAAAGAAAAATAGATCAGAGAGAAGAGAATTTCTGTAAAAGAAAGAGATGAGCTAGGATTAAAATGGGAACTGATACAAGGAAAGGAAGACGTTCAGAAACAGGTCTTCATTATGTAATCACCAGCTCTTTGTTGGACAAAAGCCTGATGTCAAATTACTCCTGGTAGAGTTGCTACGATTATTCTCTCCGTTGAGCGTCTACGTCCATGTACGGTAAGATCTTCAAGCATTTAAAGAAGAAATGACAACAATTCTGGATAACTTCTGTAAAATCGGAAACGGGAATACTTTCCATCTCATTTTATGAGACTAGCATTATTCTTCATCGAAAGCCAGGCAAAGACAGCAGAAGAAGCTGGCGCTCAGGAACTGTCCGGAACATGCTGATGAAGAACACTCTAACCTAGGGACGAAAGGCTGGTTCTGTCTTTGTAAAGCCAATCAACACAATCGGCCATATTACCAAGCCAAAGAAGAAGAAAATATGATCATGCAATAAATGCAACTTAGCAATTCTTCATAATATAAATTCTTAAACTGGAATTATTTACGGGGAGCATCTGTAAAAGGCTATCCACAGCTAACATTATACTGAACTGTAAACATTTGAATGTTTCCCCCCAGATTAGGGACAAGGCAAGAGTGTGTGCTCCCTGTCGCTATCCAGCCCCGTGATGGCCGTTCTGTCCCGTGCAGCAAGGCAAGATAATCGACATAAACTATTAGAAAGAAAGAAAACGGTATGCCGACAACATGATTATGTCAGAATTTGAAGGAGTTTACCAAAAAACACACACCCAAACTCCTGGAACTAATGAGTGAGTTGATAGCAAGCTCACAAGCTTAGCATACAAAACTCACATTTTCATAGACTAGTAGTGAAACTTGTGAACTAAAATTATAAAAATAATTATGAAACACATTGTTTATTCAGCGGTACCCCTATTTGTTACTCTAACAAAAAACGTGCAGGATCTTTATGCTGAAAACTATGAAACTCTATCCTTTCTCTCAAAAACGTATTACCTGTAGAAATAAATAGTACTCTGGTGGAAAAATTTGAGCCAGACCTAAATGTATGGAGCGAGGTACTGTGCTCATGGATTGAAGATGCAATTCTCCCCATAATCTCCTGGTGTAGTGAAATTCTACACATTCTCGGCCAGACTTGTAGATAAAAATGTACATAGGAAGATGAACAAGAACAGCCAAAACGGTTTTTAAACAGTAAGTGAAAGGTATCACACAATGTTCGTTTGCGTTTCTACCACCGCTCAATGGAGAGAGTCGTGTCCAGAAGGAGACCCATACGGATCTGCTGCTTTTGAAGGTGGCAGTGAGTTAAAGGTTTGGGCAGTTGTTTGAAGTTGAACCTGTTACTTTGGGATAACTGCTCCTCACCAAAATTTTAACTTTTTATTATTTGAAAGATTCTAATAGAATGGAAAGATAAGCAAGGTTGGAGATAATATTTGTAAGTCACATGTTGAAAACATGGCTTGGATGCAATAAGAAAGGAATCTCAAATATTTTCAGTAAGAAATCCATTTTTTTTAATGTGCAAAAGACTTGAGACATTTTACCAAAGATGATATGTGAATTGTTAAAAAGTGTATGACAGGACCTTCCGCTATTCTTGATGGCTGTTCTCACTGCCATCAAGTCATTGTGGACGCACGACTAGAACTACCCTGCTAGATTTCAAGATTGAAACTCTTTACAAGAGTAGAGAGCCTCGTCTTTCTCGCTCGAGCAGCGGGTGCTTTACCCACTCACTACGTCGGCCAGTGAGGAAATGCGAATTAAAACCCCAGAGTTATCTCTGCCCAGCCCTTGTTACAACAAAGGGAACAAGCAGCATCGTGTAGGTGATGCAGAGCAACTAGCAGTCTCGTACGTGCCTGGACATGATGCAAGATGGTAGAGCTGTTTGGGAAAACAGTTATTTACACAGTTAAATGCGCACTTAATTTGGGACCCAGCGATTCCATTCCTAGACATTGATTTTGAGAAATGAAAACTGAGGTTCATATAACAACCTGTACATAATGCTTACAGCAGTTATGTTCATAATCTCCAGAAACTGGTAACAACCCTCATGTTCTTCACCGGGTTTAACACCTACACAGAGTGTGGTGATCCATATAGTAGGTTATTAGATCACAATAGAAGTAAGGGTGGACTGCAAAGGCATTCTGCTAATTGGAAGAAGCTAGTCTCAAAAGGTTGTACCAAGGGTAAGTCAGAATTTTGCTGCTAGCATTCTCATTCATACATGCACAGGTCAGTTCTAATACACGTTTACACGTGCCTCTGACCAGTGGATGGCGACAGACAAGTTCTCTCGGTAATAAACATGTCTTGCTCTGCTTAGGGTCCCTTAAAAGAACATCCGATCAAAACCGTGGCTTCCAAGCGGATCCTCTGGGCCAGTTAAAACCAAGCTAGAGAGATCAGCTCAGAAGGTTAGGGTGGCTATTTTGGGGGATGAATACTCCTGATAAAGGACACAGGGTGATTGATCATGGGGCTTCTTATGAAGAAAATTGAAAACTGCATTGAGGAGAAAACGTCCATGACAGTGCACCCATTCATTCTTGAAGAGTAAACATGGCTGTGCTACGAGGATTTCCTGGGGAAGTCCTTACTCCTACCCGACAGCCTTAGTGTTGCCCTTGGAGACTTCTCTTTGTGTTCCCAAAGCAAAATAACATTGAAGAGGAACATAATGTGAGTTCTTGAGACTGCCCAACCCACTCTTCTGACATGGTGTCCGTGAAGAGTGCTGGTTTCTTGGAGGGAGGGAGGGTCTGGGAGGTAAACGACTTAGAGCCGGATAGGCTGGATGTGTGGTTTGTCAAGACACAGAGGCTTTACACGGAGATCTGCTTACCAACGGTATCTGTGCCCTTGTAGCAGTCCTTTTTGACTTACATAAAATATCTGTTATGTACCTCGAGCAACACAGAGAACCCTTCAGGAGAGGAGGGTGTGAAGCAAAGGGGCAGCACAGCGAGTGTAGGGGCTCATGAAGCTACCAGGATTCTGGCTGTGGTTGCACGCGTCTGCATGAGTCAAACCTTTATGAAAATCAATTCCACTTTATTCCATGTGACCAAGGATCCTTAATTGAAGTGTTGCTCCAGAGGAGAGACTTTGAGGATCCTGGAAAATAAGACAATTAGAACACTGGACTATTAAAACATTACCTTTACTTCAGTATGCATGCTGCGGGAGAACGTGTTTAAGACAATAACTGCCGGTGTAGCTTTAATCTACATTAATACGTAATGTTTAGTATAGAGGAGGTAGTAACTCCTCGATATACAGGCAATCCCTTGGTTATGAACCTCGGACTTCCGGACAGCTATTTGCCCTCAGTGATTATGGGAATTTGCCCGGAACTTTGGACCAGTGCCAACTCCCAATAAATTCTTCATCACAGTCACCTTCACTTGCTGCACATGGAGCCTTGAAATCACCTAAAGGCTTCACTTGCACTAAAAGCCCAGTTCTGTCAAGTCCCTGCCTGTGAGGTATTGTAAACCTGCCTTTGTGGTGTCTGACGCTGTGAATCTCTACGGGAGCAGAAAGCATTATTTTTCTCCCTTGGGCAACTGGCTGGGTCGAACTGCTGACCTTGGAGTTGAGAGCCCAACACACGCCCCACTGTGCCACCAGGCCTCCTTTCTGGCATGTAAGTGGCTGAATGAGCACGTGCCCCTCCTTGACTTAGCTGCAGATTCATACGGCCCAGCAATGGCTCTGGTTGGTAGCCCAGGGGCTGCCTGTGTGCCACTGATCAGCGGTCTTGTAGAGAATTTGTTCATTTCTAAAGTCCATTATATCTGGGGCTATTAACAGACTGGTAGCGAGAGTGAAATCTTCAGTTGGGAACAAATAACAGAATTTCAAATACAATATATAATATAATAATAAGGGTTCCTGGGGGTGGGGTGGGGGATAAAGAAGAAAGAAAATGTTTTGAAACCGATGGTGGTAGCAATTGTAAAATTATGCTTGATCAAACTGATTTATGTATTGATAGAATATTTGTGAGAGTTCCCACTTTTTTAAAAAAGAGGATGAAGAGAAAGCAATCCTCAGGGATTGGTGAGATTAAATCCCTATTTTAAGAAAGGATAGAGGTTTCTTGTGTTTAAGATTCAATTGAGTCTGACTGTTCCTAATTTGGGGTTTCAATATGGTAATTTACTATCCACCAGAAAAGAAGAATTCTGATATTTTTGTTAGAGCTTAACCTACCTATCTTGTGCACTGTTGGCTAATCACTGGCCGTCTTGTTTGGTTTTCTCCAATAGGGTACTGTGAAGCAAGCTTACACAAGTGCCCCCTTGGTGGACAGCGAGCTACTGCGATTGAGCCTACGACTATTTAAGCGAAAGACCACATGCCGGGGCCCAGGATTTGAGAAACCTGATGACCACAAACTTTCACAGTCTGCCGTCCAGCAGGAAGTGTGTGTGTCTTAAGACTGGAGCCCAGCACGAGGTGTAGGGGACTCTTCCTTCCTCGGTGTGTAGCTTCTGCGTCAGAGTTCTTTGGTGTGAACCAGTGACAACGTTAGTGACAAAGGCAGAAGAATTGATCAGCCACGCTGAGTCGAGACACTGACTTGAGATTTTATTTGCTACAAGTACTTGTAACACAAAATGATGTGAGCGCATCTAGATGCAGGGCTAGTTCTGCACTATTGTTGCAACGGGTGGGGTTGGACAAGGTTGGTCGGTGTCTTTCCAGCCCCCAGCCACTTCATGAAACAGAGACACCTATCGATGCTCCGGCCACCACAGTGCTAGGGTGTTACTCCTGCAGCGCGTTCCTTGCAGCAGCTGCCGAGCTGGGCCACAAGTGCTGCATTGTAGAGATCTCTGAGCCACACGTGACAGTATATATAGATAGCCGTGAGGAGGGAGCCAAACGCCTTTTTCCCCCTTTTGAAGGGTTAGGGTCTTTTTTGTAATTACCTAATGGGTCAGGATTTTTTTCCCCCCAAATAAAGGGGTATCGTTACAGTGTATATTGGATTTATTTGGATTATAATCCCTCGTCGTTAGAGATTGTCAACTTTTTTTATTCTTAATAAAACGTACCTTCCCTTTCATTGGTCTAGACTACTTGCTCTTCATCTTAGTCTTGATGTTTTGAACATCTGTCTCAACATTACATTTCATGCTTCAGCCATTTCACGACGGCTGTTCCCGTTGGGCAGCGGTCAGTGATGTGGGAGCGATGAGGATGTCCTTCAACAATGCTGGACACAGACAGCCATTCCTAGTTGAACACTTGTATCGCTAGCTGTTTAAGGAGATGTTGTATTTAAGATTGTGTTTGAACTTCCTATTTAACCCGAGCTTTCAAATCCTAGAATATTTTCCAGTCTTTGATATAAAGTGTGCTATATCATAGCTGTTAAAGATGTAATAGCCTTTTTAAATCGTCTTCTCTGTAAAAATGTTTGATTGCATTAAACTGCCTATAATATGTAAAACAGAATTGCTTTTTTGAGATTGCAGGATACCAGCTTTGTCCTGTCTATTCATAAGGGAGCTCAGGAGTAGACTCCTGTAAGGGTTGGTGGGCAGGCAGTAACGATAGTAAAGGAACTCAATCTAAACTATAATTTGATCCTTCTCCAAGGTTTTTGTTAAAACTTACTCTTCCGACGTCTCCCTTCTTTCTGCTTCTCTGCTCAGGAAGCCTTCATCGGGCAGTTCTTGTCCACGGCACTTCACCAGCAGAGGCGGTGCTCTCGTTTTCAGATAACTCTAAGCACGAATATGAAAATTACTGAAAGGGCAACAGCAAGCCAAGGAAGCAATTTTCCCTGATGCCTTGTTCCTGGTTTGCCTTTGCTAGATGTTTAGAGAGAAATGAACAAATAAAATGATGTAATGACCCTTTAGTAAACAACTTTCTAGCTCTATCAGATACTCCTGTTTTTGTTTTTTCAAATAAATGGGTATCATTACGGTGTATATTGGGTGTATTTAGATTATAATTTCTTTTGTCATCAGAGATGTTCAGCTGTTTTTTACTTTTAATAAAATGTAGCTTAAGATTTAAAACTCTAGAATTCGTAAACCTAGTTGCCAGAATTTTGGAAGATGACCCAAAATAAAGATTTTCCTTTTTTGTCCACGGAGTAAGAAAATTTCCCAAGTTGAATTACTTAACAGTGTGGAGATTTTGTCTCTAATTCTGCCGCCATATGCAGTCTTTGACGTGAAGTGTGTTATTTTATAGCTGTTCTGTCATAGCCTCCTCTTTCTCCCAAAGAGTGGCCGGTGGGTTTGAACCAATAGCCTTGTGGTTAGCATTCAAATCCTGACCTGACACCACCACCAGAGTATAATTTAATATTTTATAAGTAGTAACAATATGTTGAAAAACTCAGTTCTGATGCTTTTCTTTACTCTGAACAGCCGGTACATGTTATGGTTCCCAGCTACCCCAGGACTAACATCCTTATTAATGTAACAATTTGGGGTATCAGAAGCATCTTCAACATTTTTTACTGTCTGGTTTTGTCAAGATCAAGGTATATGATATCTAAATTGTGTTCCTTGTAAGCTTATCCTTGGCTTGTTATTTAGATAGCTCGAATGCAACTTTTATTTCTCCACCCATTTCCAGCTAGTGGCAGGTGTCCCGGTGGCATTGGGCGGCAGTTGGCAGGGTCAGCAGTTCAAATCCACTGGCACTGCTGCAGGAGGAGGACCGGACTCCGCACCCCCAGGGACAGTCACGGACTCCATGGCAGCGAGTCTGGTTTGCGTTGTGTATCCAACACAGAGTCGTCGTTCTAAATGCCGTCTTTAAATGTATGCCCGTAATTATTTTATTACCATTTCTCTTAAAACCTCAACTGTACAGTAAGGTTTGTTCATCTTTTCTCATCAACTGTTGTAAAAATGCCAAAATTCTTGAATAAAGAAAGTTTGTTGTGCAGTTTTAGAGCATAAGGTTTTTTGGTACCTGTATTAGTCTGGGTACTTTGGAGAAACAAATCCACGGCGACTCACGTATAAGAGAGAGTTTTATGTAAAGAAAAGGTGCATCATGAAAACATCCCAACCCAATGCTGCCCAAGCCCACAAGTCCAACATTAACCCATTAACCCA